ACCCACACCCATGGAACAATATATCTACAAAAACAACAAACGTGAAAAACATTTTAAAATCCCAAAATGAAAGTTTTAAAAATATCCGACTGACTTGAGTGTAATGTCCAATCTTGAAGAATCCGTCGGGGCCCAGGTAGTCGTTGACGTTTTCTCCGTAGCGGTAGTCGGCCACCTCGTCGTACCAGTTGCTCATGGCCTGTCTCCAGTTGCCATGTCCAGCCGCCAGGTTCTGGCCGATGTGCAGCCCGTAAGCTGAAGGAAGACATTACGAGAATTAGTTTAGAGTTAGGTCTATGTGACTGGCATGGATAATTATGGCAGAATGCCCAACGCAGCTCGCGACCGTGAAAGATGGAGGGTCAATACACGTCAAACTTTGAGTAAGAGATGACACCTCCAGGTATCCAGGTAGTTCTATTGTTTGAAAACGTACCCCTTACTATTAACAACAACATCCTCACCCCTACCGCAAGCCCCACCCCATCTTGTCCCACCCCGCAAGATTTTTATAGCAGCCTATTTTGCACTACTGCATACCCCGACCTGTACTTGAGTTTTTTGTTTGAGTAAACAAAAGCACATCGACAGGACTAATGGTCATTTAGTGCTGGGAAACAGTAAGACAGACAGACAGAAACAACAGAGGAAAATTAACGACGTAGGGCTTACCAGTGGCGCCCTCCAACCACCCTCCGACTTGTATTTAGTTTACGACGGTAGGAAAATATGACAGTTTGAGAGTTCCATAAAAGGCGACAACACAAAATGAAACAAAATCAGGTACTAACGTACCACTCTAACCATGATAATTATTCATAATATCTTCATTTTTCTTCTTCTCTTGGTTCAAACATCAATTGTGTTTACTTACCCACGTTTTCATTGGCTAATACAAATACGACTAATAATACCGGGCATGACAAATGGACACGGGACAAAGAAATACCCCAAAAAGCTACGTTTAAATTGTCGCAATTGAACCCTGGGTAAAAGGTAACCGCACATTTTATCCCCTTAATCAAATGGTGTGATCCTTGAAAAATACAGTCATTTTTAAAAATCTTAATGACCTTTTCCACTTCAAGAAAACATTTTAAACGGTTTTTCCTCTTCCTTTCCTTCACAAATTTAATTTACCTCCCCTCAACCAACATTTCCTACAGTCACTTTCCCCACATCTCCACACTTCAAAGAGGACGCGCATTCTGACCACACGACACCAAGTTTTGGGACACTTAGGAAAACAGGCATAACCTCGTTATTCCAACAGATTTTTCACTCAAACGCAAAACAGTACAAAACGATATGCATACTATACCATGAAATAGTCGAAGTCGTTTTTCTGATTTATGTTGTTGGTTCGAACGAACCGTACCTCGGCTTTGTCTTTGGTCTGCTGCTAGTCGGAAACTACAAAAATGTATCTGCTACCGTACCAGGCTTTAATTAAAGAGTCATACATTGTTTTTTAAACAACAGACGATTTCTTGCCCACATTGATACGCATACGGAAACACATACACACTGGCACACATACCATGACTGACTCAGTCACACACACACACACACACACACACACACACACACACACACACACACACACACACACACACACACACACACACACACACACACACTTACAGGGGATCTTCCTGTTCTTGTCATGCTCCAACACACATTGTTTGGCCCACTTCTGTGCCACAGCGGCCAACTTGTCGTCCCAAACCTGTTGGAGAACACACGATTACGTCACCGACACACTGACCTCTCGCACAGACAGAAAAAAGAAAGAAGACTTGAACATGACAAAGAAATAAACGAGTTTAATTAAGGATATTCTGTCTAGACTGCTAATCTGCTCTCACACATACGCTACATGTTTTGAGAATGTACAGGGCAGATTAAGGAGACGCTCCACTTCTCTAAAATTCCAAAAAGGATTAGTTAGAGTTTCGTTTGATTCAGGTTTTATTTGGTCTTTTGGGGGGGTTTGCGGGAGGGGGGGGGGGCGGACTGCCGTTTTTTTGTCTCTTATGGTTCATTTCCTCCTCATATTTTTCCATCTGCACCTATTCCTTTTCCGAATTCTCTTATTTTTCTTGGACCTACTATACCTCCTTCTCCTTCAGGTCTTCTATTCATTCACCTTTTCTGCTCTTCTCTTTCCCTTCCTCTATTTTAGTGCTCTAGTACTCCATTGTCATCATTTTTCTCCTTGTAATCTTCTTTATCCTCCTTCTTCTACTTTCCCCTCTATTTTTGGCCTTGTCTTTTTCTTACTGATTCTCTTCCTCCTCTACCTCACCCTCAACATCTTCCTCCTCCTCCTCTCCCCTCTCCACCTCCTCTTCCTCCTCCTTTCCCCTCCTCCTTTCACCTCCTCCTCCTCCTTATTTCCTCCACCTCCCTCCCCTTTCACCCCCTCTTCTCTACCTCCTCTTCCTCCTCCTCCATCACGTTCTCAATTTCTTCTTCTCCCTCTCCCCCTTCTCTTGTTTTATCAAAGCTATAGATCTAGCTTGTTTACTTTCATCTGTCTGCATTAAAAACGTTCTAGGTCATTTATTTATTTACCTATGCCCACGGAACTTTGCATGGCACTTCTGCAGGTCAGCCACAATACACATTTTTGTCTTTTAAATCTTGATCCAGTAATACGGAAGTTTTTCTCTTTGGGCCTTATATTAAAAACCGGTCTTTGTGTGCATACACGAGATCTCTGAGATAAATGACTTTCACTTTCAGTAATCTTGCCAACTAATTACTCATTTTGATACAGATTCACAACCCTGCCCGCTCATTTCAGAGTTAGCTTGTAGATTACATCCCCCTCCCTCCCCCCCTGTATGGACGTCTCCACGGGATCCTCATGAGTCTCGAAAATTATACACTCCGTTTCTTGAATCTCGGTTTTTTTTAAAGCGTTCATTAGCATACAGTGTGTTATTGGGGAAACTAATTATTGTTATGTACATTTTTTTATGTTTCAGATGTAGGCTGTAAATCTTCTAATATATTTTTACCCGCTTTAGGCTTACATCAAGGAAAACATGTCGGAACCTTAGTTTGCAATGACCTTTATGAATTGGCTTTTAGATCCTGTTGGTCATCCAACGTCTAGACCCGTAAGCAAATATCTGAGAAGAGTAAATAGACAACAAATTTACATGGCAAAACCACGTAAACAATATCGTTAAAAAGGTAAATCAGAGGCTGTACTTTCTGAGGAAACTAAAGTCTTT